AATTTTAGTGTAGACTGATTTTTTTTTCTTCAATTTTGTTCAGATCATGTGATAATGGCTCTTGAGCCATTTGTCATATTGTTACTCTCTGGGATTTAAAAACAATATTTTTAATACTTAAAATTTTTGTGTCTACATGTGATATATATATGTGTGCGTGTGTGTGTGTGTGTGCGTGTGTGTGTGTGTGTGTGTGTGTGTGTGTGTGTGTGTGTGTGTGTGTATACATATATATGTTAGTGACATGTATGTACAGGTGCACCTGTGTTTGTGTGCATTTAGAAGCCAGAGGTCAATATCAGGTATCTTCTTTTACAGGTCTCTACATTAGTTTTTGAGAAAGGGTCTCTCCCTGAGTTCAGAGACCAGAGCTCACCAACTGACTAGACTGGCTAGCCAGAGAGCTCTAGGGAAATCTTCCTGTCTCCGTCCACCCAGCTCTAGGGCTATAGATGTACACTACCACAGCTGTCTTCTGTGTAGATGCTGGGGATATAAACTCAGTTCTCATGCTTGTGTAGCAAGCACAACTGGGCCACATTGTCACTCAGCTTCATTGAGTGCTCCAGGATTTAGCTCTCCCCCTCCAATGTGTTTCCTTTAATCACCCTCAACAACCCACTTCCATGGTTGGTATCCTGGGTTTTGTCATTATCTGGACTGTAGAACTTGTGAACTTTTCCACTGAGAACCTGAAGCCAGCTCACCAAATTCATGTTGCTACTCAATGACGCTCCCATCTCTGAGCCTTCAACCCACTGATTGGACCGCCTTTGAAAACACCCTGTGTCACCCCCCTCACATTTTAGCATGCCTACTGACCTGATTCATGGCCTTTACAGTCATGTTAGTTCAACTGCTCTTCCTGGAGCTGTACTCGCCCGGCAAACTCTATCCCTGGCCAAACTCCACTTTCAAGTTATTCTGAGCCTGCATCCCAATATCTGTGGAAAGGTCCGTAAGGGTAATGGGCTATTTAAAATGGATGCTCTAAATCTCAAGTGTTCTGAAGCCAACTCCACAGTTATTTCCAAGCCTCCTTCCTGCCCCTTCCAAAACTCCTCCCCCCTACCCCTGTAGATCTCCCTGTCACCATCAGTATGCTCTATTTCCTTTCTAAAAATGCTTCTCCATCTCCACATCCTTTTCTAGTGACTTCTTCCTCCCATCTTTTTCTCTCCTCAGCCCGTTATTTATGGATGGCTGTCTACACCACTCTGACACCTTTACTCTTGCAAAGGACCCTAATGATTCTGTATCATCAAACCCAGGGAAGAGCCCCTGTCCTATCTAAACTGACCTTGAAGTAGTTGTTGCATAATAGTTGCAAACATGCATTCCTTCCATGGCAATCTCTTCTGCCTGACATAGTTCCATAGTCAGCAACTTCTTGTGGTTAAGAACTACAGGCAAATATGAAGACAGAACACTGTATACATAATAAATAAATCTTAAAAATTAAAAAAGAATCATAAAAAGATAAGCACTGAAGTTCAATACTTATCTTTCTTAGGAAACCAAACAAGACAGACCAGCAATTATGACTGACATGGCAGCATGACCTATAATCCCAGCACTTGGGAGGCTGAGGCAGGAGGATGGAGAGTGCAAGACCAAGCAGCCTGGGCTACATAGCCAGAGTCTGTCTTTTGAAAAGAAGGAAAAAAAAATAAAAGTATGAACTAGGAGTAGCTGAAGCCTCTCAAATTCACAGGTACCTCAGAGGCAGCCAGCACAGGGCTAACTCAGTAATACAGAATCCTTGGGTTGAACTACATATACCCTAACAATGCATTCAGCAACCAGAGATCCCCAACCTGCATCAAGCTGCACATAGGCCTAGCTCCAAATAATACAGTCTTTCTGCAAACACATCCTAAACATATCCTGTAAGGATGGAGAATAAGCTAAACTAGCCTGAACTGTGCATGCGCAGAAAGGCGAATTGGTTCCTTTGAACAACCTTTTAGGGGAAATTTTCTTATTTACTATTATGCCTATGGGTTATGTAAAATTAAAATGCATTATGGGAAAGATGCACTGTAATCAAAGGCTTATGGAAGCCTGTCAATGAAATCCCCCAGGCCCTCGCACCTTAGTGGCCAACTTCCTTCCCTGTTGGGCCTATGCAAGACAGCCTCAAACAGTAAGCCAGCTCTCTTGAGTACATCGTACTCACAGCCCTCTGTTTGCTCAAAATGCATCTATTCTGTACTTGTATTTTCTTTCGGAATAAAGTCTCTTGCTACTTTGAATTTGTGTGTACTTCAGTGCTTTGAATAAGATACCAAGTTCTGGAAATGCCTTCTAGACAAAGGCCACTGGTAACACTATATCAAGTGAATGTAAACATAGGCACACTTTTTGTCCTTTAAATTATCACATAGTTTAAATTCCTTCCTGAATTCAAGTATACTCCAATTGTCACTTAAAGATAGAGACTGTGTCCACCAGTGTCTAGAGCCCACGGTGCTGTCTTTCCAGACCTTACTTTATGACACTGGGCCACATTTCCCATCTATGTAAGCAGGTTTCCCTATCTGAAAAGTAGATATAATAACCCTTGCTTCAGGAATGTGCATGTGTGCATATTTGAGTGCACTTACTAATGCAGGAATTAAATACTCACCTTCAATTCATGATGCTATCCTCTTGGTCACTCACCTGTATGTGATCCCTCCTGGGGAGAAGGAAAGAGGGTACATGGGCTTAGATTACCTTCTAATGGAAACTCTCATGATGGGACACATAGCAGAGCCTGTTTATATGATTCCTTGTGGAGATAGAGAAACATGACTGGTTGCACAGGCGGTAAGGTGATGAAAGAACAAGAGGAGAGTAGTTGCATGAGCAGAGGAGGAAGGGACCATTGGCACTGTGGGTGGGATGTAGAGCAGCTGCTTACTGAATTGGGTGGCACATCTGGGGTCTTTGAGCCTCCACATAGTGGATGCTGTTAGTAGCCATTCCAACTCTTCCATCTCCAGCCACCGAGTCAACCACAAATGCCCACACACTTCCAACTACTTCCTGGGAGATTGAGAATGAGTGGATGACACAGCCATTTACTTCACAGCCAATGTGCCTTCAAAATGAAATGTGCTAAAGAGACAATCCATAGAGCACATTTACCCACAAGCCTTTATGCCGAGTTAATAGCCTTCTAAGCTGAAAGCTCTTGAGTCTTCTATGCTAATTCTGAGACACATTAAGTGAAGGATGGATATGTGAGGCTCTAACCCCACTGAATGGAATCAGGGAAAGATCATTTGATAAGCTATTTGAAGACGAAGAGGGACATGGGTGGAATTATACTGCAGTGAGGCTCTAACCCCACTGAATGGAATCAGGGAAAGATCATTTGATAAGCAATTTGAAGACGAAGAGGGACATGGGTGGAATTACACTGCAGGAGAGGCCTGTTTGCAGTATGGGGGCAAAAACAAAATTAGGGATATCTATTATTTTTTAAAGGAATTTATGAAGCCAAGTAAACAATTCCCGCCACAGCCATCCCTGGAAAGGCATTCGAGGACAGTGCCACACCTTCTGAGGACACTGTGATGGAAGTGTGACAAGGAGCTCCCAGTGGTTTCTGCCATCTGCTCCTCATTTCTTCAGCAGTCCTGTGCTCTCAACTGTAGACAGGATATAGTAACCTCTTTCTTGTGATTATGAAGGAAATGGTGCAGTATCACTTCTAAAACTACAAAAGCCTGAGTTATGTTTTGTTTTTCCTTTCTCCAGGTTTTCTCAGTTTGCCTGACCTCCTGAGGGAAGATACTACATCATAAGCTTCACTTTGGAAAGGTCTACTCAGCAAAAGCTACCATGAGCCATGAAGAGAGCAAGGCCTTCATTCAACAAACTATGAAGAATCTTGCCAATAACCATATGTGTAGCTTAGAAATGAGTCGACTTTGGATTATATGAGAAACTCTGTAGCAGAAGACCCAAGAAAACCATGACAGATTCATGGAAACTAGGAGAATAAACATTTATTGTTAAGCCACTGAGTTTGGGGTCATTTGTTACACAGCTACATATAACTAATATATTCAGTTTTCTCTCAGTGGACAGCAAACATTCACTTATGATATGGTTCATGATTTACAGTCCTTAAGGAAAATCCAGATGTGTATATTTTGATAAAGAATAAGGCAAGGTTGAATATAAAACTTTCCAGAGTATCTTTGTTAGGAAAAGCAAACACTCTATGGCAGAATGGCAAGAAGAGAGTATCTAGAGGCATAAGCCATGTGGTCATATCATTAGCCCTGCAAACCTGAGCAGGCTGTAGAATGTCTCTGAAATCCTTCTTCATGAAAAAGTTGGTGACAGGACTGGTCTTTAAGAACTGAGATGGTCTATTCTGTGACACTATGATTTGAGGAACATGGGCAAGCCAGACACCCCAAATCTTTCTCAGTAGCCGGAGACATCAGAATTAGGGTTGTTCCTCAGCCTTTCCAGGGACTGTCCTTGAGGTTGTTAATCCAGGGGAGAAACTTAAGACAGATGGAGAAGCAAATTATACTCTAACTTTCAGGACAGTGAATTGTCAGAGTCCTTTACTTCCATCAAGCCACACTTGTGAGGCCCTCTGTAGTTTCCTCTTGTTTGATAGATGCGCTGACTCATTACACTTCCCTCTTAACATGAGGAAGTTTCCAGAAACTTCAGTTTCAGTCATAGCTAATGTGTCAAGCTTGATGGTCCCCATAATTGTGTGACTTTTCTGCTTCGGACTTATCACATGACTTTTTCTATAATTTAGCTGAATTTCTTTATGAAAAATGTTGGCGGTATAAATAAATATAATGAACATAACATATAGGTTTGAATTTTTTCCTTAGGCATGATAATGTAAGCATAAATAACAAATCTGAAAGCTGCTTTCTTGATTATTTTCAGAATTAATTTGATTTGGAGTTGAGGCCAAAGATTTAAATTAGCAAAATTTGAAAAGGCACGATGTGAAAAATGAAAGAAAACACAAATTGCAACAATATTTGTACCGTTTTTATTTGTAAAAATAACCATCTGAATGCATGTCCATAGTATATTACAGGTAAGTACTTCTTTCCATTATCAGGGCATTCAGCAGTTGCAAAGTATGAAACTGTGCTTGGGGAGATTCAGACTGGTTCAACTGAGCTGAACTGAAAGCCATTTTCCTCATTTTTATACTCATGACACTGATCAGAGTCATTCAACTCCAATTTACATTTTAAAAGTACAGACAAAATCCCACTGAAATCATCACATAATAGTTTATGGTGTTACAAATACATTATACAAAATATAACACTGGCACAAGATGTGTATCATCGTGCTTTGCAAGGATATATTGCACATGCTAAAGCGTAGTCTGTAGACAAAACTACTGAACAAAAGATATTTGCATTGAATCTTCAGATCACTGCATAGGAAACACGGAGAATTACATTTTACACACACACTCAGATTGTCACTATCTTAAAACGCTGTTCCCCTATAATACTGACCTATGGTTTACAGTTCTGTAAGAAGAAAGCATTTTAGCACTGCAAAGCCAAACATCATTCCTATAGAAAACTTAAGCAGTTTTATCTCAAAGCAGAGAAAGGGAGATATGGGAAAGGAGACACTTGGTACATTCAAAGAAAGGAACACTCACTAGGATTATATTGCTCCAATAACACTCAAATGAAAAAATACAAAACATTTCATGGAACATTTCCAGGATATACAAATATAAAAGGCACTCTGACGTCATGTTACAAGACCACAAAGGGATGAGTTCCTCAACCAGCACGATGGATGCACAAACCAAGGTTGCTCAATAGCATGAGCTTAACTAGTGCAGCAAATCCATCCGGTGTTCTTATGCTAATGCAACAGTATAGTAAGCCAACTGGCTGCTTACTGTCCAAAGTACCAAAGCAAACAATGATGCCCTTTTAGTAGTGATGAATAGAAATCCCCTGAGCTAGTATTTACTAGGACTTTAGGCAATTTGGAGATAATAATGAATTTAGCAGAGATAGGCAGACACCAGTGGATAGGTAAGTGCAAACATGGTCCTTGTGGCTGTGGTTAACATACAATCTAAAAAGCATACATTTACGTAAAAGCACGGAGCAACCCAGACTCCACTAAAAACATTTTCCCCTCAGAAAGCAATGTTGCAAACATGGATGAGACAGCTGAAATACATACAAGGTATAGCTTTTAAAAGTTATTTCTTTAAAAAGAAATTGGTCTTGTTGGACAGAGGGAGGAAACAGAATCAAAGAAAGACAGACAGAAGACAGAGGAAAGACTAATGGCTCTTTGTAAGCTTGATTTCATTATGTTCCTTTGTCTTTCCTCTATAAGAAAGAGCCAGGCAAAGCCAGCGCAGCTCCATGGACACTATGGTTCCTGCCAGGACACTGCTTTGCTGAAGCAATCCCCTGGCTCTCTGCTGCATTGCTACCAATGCAGGCATTTCATTTCCTGCTTTAAATGCCAACCCAGCAAGGCTTCCACTCACTTCTAGAAAAAGACAGCACAGTACATCATGAGTCTGCAACATGAGAGCTCCCTTAAAAATGCAGGCTTCCCTAAAGATAAGGTCATTGCTGCTCGTTAGCAGTCTCTACTTGTTAAAAATGCACCTGCCCTAAACAAAAAGGGGGGACATCACACCTTCACACCAAGAATGTAGAAAAATGTTGCTGGTGTAAGATTTGTTTGATGAAATCAGTATCAGCTTTATAAAACCTCTGAACAAGTTTTCATTTGTGAAAAACCAACATGAGTTTTAATTAAATCCAGGATATTAAAAGAGTAAGGGTAAAGTCTCCAAGCTTGATGAAAACAATAGCATACGTTGTCTGGGTCTCATCCAGATGTGATAGAGTGCTGTTTTTAAAACTCTCGAAATACTATAAAATAGAAAATTCAAGGGAGATGATAGAACCTAATGCAAAACATTGAAAATCTGTGCCCTACTGCTGCAGATTTCTGAATCTTCAGCAAATGGAACATAGCACTTGGGCTTGTATCTGTGTGTTTATCTTTAATTCCTTTTCTTGGCATAGTGTCCATACTTGGCATTATTTTCCATTGAGTGTCAGAACTATGTGACATGTTTGTGTATATGATCTGCTACATCAGTTTTCATCTCACAGAAGGGTTCTGATTGGCTACAGAATGGGACCAAGCAATGAACAAACCTGAGGGTCAGCTGGCAGTAGTAGGAAATGCTGAGTTTAACCCCAGGGCTATTGGCTAGCCCAGAGTCAGGGGTATTTTCCCACTTCTTTTATTATTCTAAATAAGATACATAGCAACAAGAGAGAAAGAGATAGGGGGAGGAGAGAGAGAGATAGATGGTGTGGGGAAGGCCTAAACAGTGGGTATTTCCTCAGCATTTGTTTCATTTCAAATAAATATAAACACATTTACATCAAAGTATACAGACATATTCTCTAGTTTGAAAACAAAACCAAAGCCTGTGGTCAACACATCATCAGTTACAAATGTCAAGCCATCAACTAGAAATCTGTGTCATTAAAAATATAAAATACAAAAAGACTGGTATGCAAAAATGATTACATTTCAACCCCATAGAAAAGCTACTACAGTTCTCACTTGGATTTAGAAAGAAGAAAAGTTCAGAACTCCCATTTTAAGCAGAAGCATTTTGGTCCTCATGGGTAGCTGGTTGATGAAGTACATACATAAATATCACACGTGTGCATGTATATGTGCATAACTCTCAAAGTCTCATTCTTCTTTTTGTACAGCTGTTCCAGGTGAAGAGCGGGGTCCATTTGACCTGGAAGCTTTGGCAGAGGGAGTAGACACAGTATTCACAATGCTGATTTCATTACCAAACAACTGGCAATTGGCTTACACGGGCCACACCAACCGCTTCTGCTTTCCTCATTCATTTTCTTGGTTCCCTTTTACAGGTGCACTGCCACTCCTGCGTCATGACCTTGACCAAGAAGCTATTTTGCTATTCTTGCTAGTCTACCACTGAAGGACAGTGCCAGCCATGATACCCTTTCAAAAGTTAGTATTTTCACTTAAGAGCAAACTCACTGAAACGGTAATTTCCTATTTGACTTGCATACTGTTTCAAGTTTTGGCACGATATAATTTCACCTGAAAATGCTATCGGATAAATTTGGGATCCATTACTCCATTGAAAATTCGCTCACAGACTTCTTAAGGAGAGCCCTGGGTGCTATTTTGTTTGTGTTTAACAAGAAAGCATGGTCAATTTTCACATTCACATCTGGCAACTTTAACCAGGATCCTGGGAAGAAGTTGTGGGTCTTTACACGCTTCTTACGAGGGGGAGGGGTCAGGTGGACTCCCATAAGAGATGATTAAGGGCAGTAGTCTGAAGATGAACTTTGACCTTTGGCTTCTAGTGAGGAAGTAAACAACAGAGTGGGTAGAGGGTGCAGGCATTTCCTGTTCACTCATTCTCCCCTCCCAGGGGACATGAATGTCGCTTGACAGACCTCATGGGACTCACTGATGAGTATGTAAAAAAGGAAATCTTTAGACTGAACATTTGTCTCTCTGTTGTATTGTCCCCAAAGACAAACCATTAAATACTTAGAAATTTTCCTTACTTAAAAATGAGAGGTAGACTTTCATAGAAGTACCGTGGACCTAAAGAAAACATGAAACAAAACCAAACCCAGGCCTATCTGCATGTGCTTCAGCCTACAGCCTAGTTCCCTCTTCCGGTTGGATTGCTGATTCCTTTTCTACTGGTTTTTAGAAGCTTGGCTTCAAATACTTGAATACGGCATAATTCTGGAAATTGAGCTTCTGTCCCTTCCTACAACACAGGTAACCGAGGAAATGCCTCTACAGTCCAATGTTAGAATGTTTCCGAATCAGAATCATTTTCGTTGTACCCATCCTCAGAGCCCACGTTGTTACTGCACAGACTAACCCTGCTCCCCAGATTGGAGAGTGTCGTCCTGCTCAAACTGTCTTTTCTAAAACAAACCAAGTTGACAGCCGCCATTGTACTGGAAGGAGAAAAAGGCATCATGGTAGCCAGGATGAGGGCCAGGCAGTCAGCCACGTCTTTGTTAGGAGCACAAGCCAGGGCCGGGGTATGACCTGGGCGTAAACGCAGACAAGGCAGTGGTTAGTCGTGGAGATCCACAGTACATCTCCTGCAACCTCATTAGAGGAGATGCATGTTGAGTTAGAATTCATGCCAGGTAAGAGGAGTTACTTCTCACAAGTCATGCTGGGGTGAGACTGGAATGGGACAGGGAGGATGCAACATTTTATGGAGGTTCTGGTTTGGGTTTTGGCTCACATGTCTACATAAAGCACAGTTTTATCCCCTGTTAGCAGATTCCAGCCTTCATCTAGAGAACAGACACATGTGGCAAGGAAGGAAACGGGACACAAGCCACAAAAAATAGCAAGGGGACATCCAAGGGGGAGTTCCCACCGACAGCAAATGCACACCATGAGCCGCAGACTTGGCAGAGGAGGACTGTCATTTTGAGAGTAGTCACTTTCCATGACAAGTGTGTGTCAAACAGAAAGGGTAAAACCAATGACCAATGTCACTCTATATGAACATCACAGAAAGCACACGTCAGTTTACTATTCTAAAAAACTGAAACCATTTGAGGAGGCCACTAATGAATACTTCCATGACCATTTAAGAGAATTTTAATAGACCTTAAAAAAAAGTCACTTCACCAACTAAAGTCATAAATCTGAACTATCAGGAATGTGGGACAAACCACTGTTAGCCATAATTAGGTGGTATGACTCTATCATCAGACTCGAGGCTCCAGAAACTCACTAGAAAACATGATCTCAAGACATTAAGTAAGAAGTGCCCTGCTCTTCCGATGTACTTGCTGTCTTTATCCCACTTTTACTCTCTCCACCCAAGATCCCCTTCCACAAAGAGCAATGAGCTTGCTCAATCCATCAGAGGAAAAAGCCAGTTGTTGTTTCCTGTCACTGGACATGAGGGCACTCTGGGCTCTCAGCCCTAAAGGTATTATTTGTCTTTACAGAGTGAAAACAAATGGAAAGGGTTGGGTGCCTTAACATTTCATTCCTGGAACAGCAGTGATGAGTGAAGAAATTATTACTGCAGTGTGGTACAAAGAGGTCTCCAAATATTCCCAGCCATTGGGCATAGCTAAACTCCGAGAAAGGCAGTCTCCGGTGACACAGAGCTTCTGCACCCAGAGACACAGCCTGAAGACACCTAAGAGCATGCTAACACCCATCATTCTAGCATCTCATTTTTGAGAAAAGCAGTGGACTTCTTCATGCTAAACTTAAGGTGTGTAGAGCTGATAAAGATAAGGAAAGTTAGCTGGGAAAACTAAGGAGATGGGTTAAAAGAACTCTCTGTACTTCCTAGACAAGCCAGGTTGGGGGGAGAGCAGGGTACATGCTAGGATACATGGGGCTGCAGATACAAAACTAAAGCATCAGCTAAGTTGTCAACATGGCTGCTTACTTCTGGGAAATAGGCATGAGCTGCTAGTTCCAATACCTGTAATAAGCAGTTAATGGAGTAGCATTAATATATCCAGATAATTTTACTTAGATGTGACATTGCAAACATTACTTAATTCATAAATATCCAGAAGTTCCTCTCTTGCTAAGAGGCATTATGCATACACTGGTTGTCTATTAGGATTCTGGTATTCCCTAGTTTTCATAATGCAACAAGCAGAGTGGAGGCTTTTGACAAGAATAAGATTATTTAGGGAAGGCAAGTCATAGAGACAGGAGAAACTTCTGGCCTAGACCTAAGTAAAAACATTTCATTCATGTTCCCCAACTTTCTATATGAGAAATGTGAGTCCTGATTTGACTTTACAAAAGCATTTGATATAGGAAATGCAAAGATCTGTTTCCACCGAGCCTTGGAGCGTCCACTAACGACATGTGTATCTCTTACTCCTTAGTGTATGCAGTCAGAATTCCCAAGGCCAAGCTGAAAGGCTTTTGGTATGCCTGGAATTTTTTGAATGAAATATGCTGTGCTGGTGATGTTACATGCAACCTGGACAACAATGGTGGGCTACAGGTAGACAATGCACTGTACAAAAAGACAGACAGGACAAAATGACCTGGGTTTGATTTCTTACACATAAGGTACCTCCAAGGGAAAGAAACTGCTTACTGGCTCTTAAGCAGCTCCTAACTTTCTCATTGTCCTCTGACTTCAACCAACACAACCCGTAGCAACTGTTACTTCTTGCTACTTACCATTTTCATCTACAGCAAGTACACAGGCTCCTTTGGCCAGCAACTCCTCAACTACCACTTTCAAGCCATTGCGTGCAGCGATATGGAGGGGTCTGAAAGGCAACACTGATTGTCAGTCGAGATACACGTTAGTGTGAGTGGTAGAGCTGGGATCTTCCAAAGCCTGTGTGCTGAAGGCTTAGTGGAGGTGGGAGATGGTGGATCCTGTGGGAGTTTTCAGGTCCCCAGAGCATGGCACTATAGGACAGCCAGCCCTCCCCACTTTCTCTTTGTCCTGTGAGTAAATAGTGATGTGTTCCCCATCAAGATATGCTGCCTCATGCAAAGTCAAGGGACCAACCAATCACAGACTGAGGCATGCAAGACTGTGAGGCAAAACAAGCCTTTTTCTTTATGATTCTCTTGGGTATTTGACATAAAGGAAAACTAATTAACAGTGAAAAAATGTGGCATTTTGGTTAACTTACGTCACTAAAAGGAAGCCGTACTTAAGAATCTACAAATAGTACATGGTTGTTTTTGCTTTTGAAAAAAAGCAATGTTGACCATGTCTTTTATTGTATTATTGATCCAGCTATTCTTATGTGTTTGGCCCAGATCTCTCTGCAGATGGTATAAATAGTCTACATCTTGAACAGTCTTGGTGACAGCACAGAGAAAGCCAGAAGAATTCAAGCTCCTGTGTTCTGTAGAAGGCTCTTTACTGGCTAATTTAAGTCCCCGTTTTGCACAGGTCATTGGGATGAGTGGTATTAACATATATTCTCAGATCTTTTTATTATTGCATGTTCATAGATGTCTCATTGGGTTACAGTACCTTATAAAAGAGTGTCACCCTCAGCATATTGTGCTATACCCTTCAACAATATTAAACTTAAAAAACACTAATATGCCTTTGCCTTTAAAACAAATGCATAAGTAATTTCCCAAAATGGAAAATGAAGCAGCTTTTGGATCCTCCACACTGAGGGTTACACTGAATTATATTAAAATATAATTACGACAAATAGCTTAGAAACTGTACAGATGTATTCTGGGAACCTGATTTATAAACCTGATGTTTTCCAGTCAGACTACATAATGCTAATACATAATACAAACAGTTTCTCCAAATATGTCAGTTCATAAGCCCAGAAGATTTTTCTAAAAGCTCACTAAATTTATAATGAAGCTCAGTAATGCTGGTACAAGAACAAAGAACTTACAGACCCTAAGAGCTGTATCAAAATAAAGGCTCTACCTAACATCATGTATCTCTAGTCAACACTGTAGATGTGCGTCCATAAACTTCATGAAGATGAAGCCTTGTCAGCACCACTCACTGCTCTACTTCTCAGAGCTAGACTAGTCTGAGGCAGGCTCTTAATGTGTGTTGGATAAATACTATGACTCTGGCCCTGCCCCAAATGAGATGTCTTTATCATCCCTCCCCACAGGCCAAGGCCCAGGGAATATCTTAGAGAAGATGGTGCAAATGGAAAAGCCAGAGGATGGAGAGCAGAGCTGGGGCATGCTATCTTTTGGACACAACACAGGCCTTGAACTCATGAACTCACAGTGGCTGTGCTTTTCTGTATAAGACTTGGGCAAAATCAATCCAGGCAACATCATAACATAGACAGGACAGATGATCTCTAGGCCCCACCCTTACTGAGGAGTTGTTTGCAATGGATAGTTGGGGTTGCAGGGAGAGAGTCATTCTTTTTGGCAGATGTAGTCACTTGTAGGTTTCCCATGTTGCCTTGGATGGTCCACATCCGTACACACTAACTGGACTTAATGGGTTAAGTGGGGGCGGCGGGGGAGGGGAGACATGCAGTTGGGAAGGTAACATGCTAAGGGATCCAGGTGAGTTGGAGGAGGAAAATGGTGGTGGAAATGACCATATTTCATTGACATGTAAGAAGCTCCCAAAGAATAAATAAAAATAAAATCCTATGACTCTGGGTTTGTAAAGCTACGCTTGTCATACTCACGTCTGTAGGGCACTGTTCTTTGCGTTAATAAGGCTCTCATCTTGTATCTTGTCAAGTATTAACAAGGCACATTTTTCATGGCCCTAATAAGGAAAAAGAGCAAGAAACATGAGGCAGGGATACAGGAGAGTTCCAGAATGCTTACCTGATTGTACTTTCAATTGAGTAACAGCTTCCTCTGCTTGAAAACATTCAAGACTATTTCCTGAGTAATTCCTTTTCTAAAAAGTAAATGGGCCCAAGATACTCTTAAGCTTCTACATGGGGCCCATTAGGACTTGTTTAACATGTTACTGACTTAAAATATTCATATTTAATATTAATATTTCCAAGATCATTTTAAAATTAATGTCCAGAGATGCTAGCGTCAGTGAGTGATGGAGGCAGCAGCATTAGCAACATCCTTTAAATCCTGCAACACTGCTTTTTAAACATACATCAGGTTCCTCCTTCTCCAAACCTTCAATTACCACTCCAGTGATCCATCTCCTGGAGTTCCCATGACACCCAAGAATGTGTCATTTATCTTCATTTCTGTTTGATGCTCCGAACAGGCCCTGTTTTTGGAGTGTGTACATTTTTCCTCCTCAACCCAAAATACAGATATCTCTGGATCTTACAACAATAGATGCTTGATAATTAAAATATCAATTATTATGTCTAGGGTCATGGATTACTAAGTCTTGTTAGTTAAGGGCACAGACTACCAACATCAGTATCATCTGCGAGTTAAAAATGTTGACTCTCCCTGGGACACAGAGACAGTAAAATTCTGTCTATAACAAAAAAGAAAAATAAAATATCAGGCCAACTTAGACCTAATAAACAGAATGCATTTTTTTGACAGGGTCTTACTATGTAATCCAGGGTAGCTTTGAACCCCTGATCCTCCCACCTCAGTCTCTAGAGTGCTGAGGTTAGAAGCATGCACCACCATGCCTGGCCAGAATCTGTGTTTTAATGTCATTCTCAAGTGATTCCTATAATGTAAGGATGTCTGAAAAGCACAGTAATGCCCGTCACTAACACACCGTGCTTTGACATAACTTCCAGGCCCTGAGCATTTCTGTTGTTTCCATGTTCTTTCCAGAGAATGGATACAAAAATACAACCAATGAGAGGAACAGCCGAGCCTTCTGATGCCATTGGTGTCAGCTGCCCTCATAATATAATGCAGTTTGTAAAAATCACACACACAGGCATTTGTATGTATCTTTTTATGAAAGGAAAAAAATCTACCATATATTTTGCACTCATGTATGCATGAGAAAACAGTGACAATGTACAAGGATATTGCTTTGCAGTAGTATGATAGTGTCTTCAAACAGAACTCAAAGGAAACAGCTTAGTGTTTCCACATCACTAGTGTCTTAACCTGTACCAAAATGTGATACTGCAGCCAGGGAACCATATACAGTGGCATAATTTCGACAGGTGAACTCAAAGGAAACAGCTTAGTGTTTCCACATCACTAGTGTCTTAACCTGTTGTGTGGTACCAAAATGTGATACTACAGCCAGGGAACCATATACAGTGGCATAATTTCGACAGGTGGAATGTGGCAGGTTTGCAAGTAGCAAATGCATGAAACATGTCCTCATTATTCCTATCCATCAACCCAGAATCCCGCCCCTTCCTTTTCCTACTTCATTTTCATGGACAGTTGCAGCATCCTGGGAAATGGTAATTTAATTAAAAGCCATGCTATGTAGGTTCTTGGGAAGGATAGAAATCTTGTGATATTATTCTATGATCGCAACAGTAAGTAGCTGTGTTTTAAACCCATTACATACTTTACTGATAGCCAGGTGCAAGGGAGTATTCAAGTCCTTATCCTTCACAGTCAGATCAGCCTGGGCATTGTTCACCAAAATATCTACAGACAAAACCAAGAGAATCACTTAGACTGGATGCCAGGCCCGCGTTTCAGTGTGGCTACAAAACAACAATCACATTAGGACAGCCTACACTCATATTTAATGTTTGTAAAGAAGGAACAGTTTGTTGCCATATTTGTTCCATTCAAATGGAAGCTGGTTGGGCATAGTTCCAGCTGTCCTCAGAGTTTCACCATCCCACCACTCCTCAGATTTTTGGGCTAAAGCCAAACACAGTGTCAGTATTTCTTGTCGAGATGACTCTGTTTAAATGTAACGTTTCTAAATGTTGAGAAATTTCACTCGAGGATTCTCCTACTTTGCTATGGTTGCCCAATGACACAGAGCTGAAGATGACTGAGCTCATAGGTAACTTCAGTAAAACTGGGTGGCCCCTTTCAGATTTCCATGCTAGAATAGTGCTGGCATCTCTACCTGACCTCATTTCACGTTTTGGACAGTCCTAAGTGCAGAGTCCACAGCTGAAGAACATACCTACAGCGCCTGCCTGCCCATTCTCAGCAGCCATCATCAGTGCTGTTTTCCCTGATTTGTCTACAGCATCCACTTGAGCATCATGTCTCAGAAGCAACGTCAAGCACTCTGCGTGATCACCGAAGGCTGCCGCATGGAGAGTTGTCCTGAAGGTTTCAAACATACACGAATATGTTGTCTTTAAAACTTTGTCTGCAGTGACTATCAAGAGAAATGCGAGTGTGTTTTCTAAAGACTTAAAGCTTCTTGGTCAGCAGAAATGATGGCCAAATCCTTTCTTAGAACCATTCAAAGCGGCCACTGAAGTTTCACCTATATGTACGGTGCCCCTTGGACTTTGGGGGGAGGCTCGTGCAATGACTCAGATAGGAAAATATCAGCACCATTCTGACATTCTAATCTTGACTTCTAGTGAGTTCTCACTCATCTATGAGACAGATACTTTTAACATTAAGAGCTAATTTGTAGGTAATTGGTTGGTTAACTAAAAACCTTAAAAGCCTACATTATCTAATGCAGACCCTGGAGTTATTGGGAAGGACAGCTTAACATTACTCATCAAAATGGAAAAAGCATTAGCCTTAATAAAGTAACTGCACTTCCTAGGACTCCATTTTCCATACACTCAGCCCTACAAACAGATTCACACATGAGTATTCACTGTGCTACTGCTTAGAAATAGCAGAATATTGAAAGCAACATGAATATTCTTCTAAAGAAGTGAGGCTGAGCAACATGCTATGTATTCATTTAATGAAATAACATGCAGCTTTAAAAAGCAAGGTAAATCTTTATAGTTTGGTATGGAAAGATCTCCAGGATATAAAAACATACTATGCATTACTTTCTCAATTGATTTTTTTTTCCCTTTGGCCAAGCATCATCCATGTCTGGATTCTAGCACTCAGCAGGGTGAAGTCAGGAAGATTATGAGTTTGAGGCTAGCCTGGGTGGGCTTCATAGCTAGTTCAAGGCCAGCCTGAGGTACACAGCAAGACTGCTCTAAACACTGTGGGCTGGGCCTGTAGCTCAGTCTAAGCTTGTCTAAGGCCCTAGATTCAATTCTTAGCACTACCAAAGTAAGTGTATATAAAAATAAAATCAAATGGCTTACTAGTCTGCAACCTGAAACAAAGACAAAAGACTCAAGACCAAAAAGCGTTACACCTCTGCATCACTCACCTGCCTTTGTCATCCCTACAACTGACGATGCTGGAATCTATGGCCCCCAGCAGCAATGACGCACAGTTCTCATGACCATTTATTCTAAAATAAAAATGGATTTTAGTGTAAAAAAATCATTCAAATATATATTCCTTCACCACACCTCATCTTTATATGCACTGTACATTTAACAATTTGATACATTTTTAGAAATCAAATCCTAATATTTATGGCACACTGCAGTAGTATCCACTGAAACCTCCTGCTGTTTCCAGTAAGGACCTCTGTGTTTGTGAGATCCCTGGAACACCCCTCACACGAGGTCCTACATAGCTGATGCCAAGACACCAAAGTGGAAAAGACTTAGATCCTTCACACATAAATTCACCCTGATTAGTATTTTTAAGATTTGTTCATTTGGGGCTGGAGAGACTGCTCAGGGGTTAAGAGCACTGGCTGCTCTTTCAGAGGA